TTATGTACTAGTGTTAAGATTTGTTTATAATTCATTTTGTTCAATGGTTTGTGAGTTATAAACTTAATTTCTTACTTTTGTATTTTGTCACGAAATTGTCAAAGGGAGAAATTGTTAGATCATATTTTGTAATTGACTAATTTCATGAAATCCATGTAAATCTCAATCTATTTCATAGTCATAATGCTACAACAATGAAGATCCGAAAGTGTCAAATGAAAGGGAGGAGATCATCTTCAAGTTACATCAAACTTATTCTCTGTATGCACTTTTTTATTTAGGACAAAGGTCATTACCTTAGAGACTTAAGAACCCTTGGTTTAATGTATTAGACTTAGGATGATTAGTAATATTAAAACGGAATTGGTATTCATCTGTGTTTGCATCAAATGGAAGGGAGAAGATCATGCTTCAAGCTATATCAAACGTACTCTCCGTCTACACCTTCTTGCTTAGGACAAAAATAATAACCCTAGTTTTTGCATGCTTCCAAAATTAAGTATTCAATCGATCCATAAAGCACGTTATATTGGTTTTGCCCACTCGGCCTACCTCAACTCTTTCCACACCCACTATTGGCTTACTCCAGTAATTAGGGATTCAAAGCGAAACCCAATAAACTTGTAATTACAATCGGATGAATCTAGTAGTCCACGGCGGTAAGTCCTCACAAGGCCATATATACCAACAGCCTAGCAGTCCACTGCCTAATTGCACCAACACAAACTCAACTCATTATAGGACTTAGAAGACTCTCCTTTGAAGAAACCCAAGTAGTAAAAGAAGGCAGCTTTGCAACTTTTCTCCTCAAGCTCTAGGTTCTTCTTGGATTGGAAGGGAAAATACGAAATCTTTACTTTTTTTCTATCCTAGTAGACTTGAAAGTAGGGTTGTCAACGGATCGAATCTTGAACTGCTCAAATCCAATCTGTTTACTTGACAAATTTTAAAATCTTAATTCATATCTACATCCGTTCATAATTGGATGTGACCCGATTATCTAATTTGATCTAAAAATTTAAATTATAGCAAAATTTCATAAAAAATTAATGATTTTATCAAATTTAAGTTAACTTTCAAACTAATTTAATCAACAAATTATTTTATTCAATAATTTCTATTTTTTTTTTTGCGAAACATCGGTAAAATTATATTACTCAAGAATGTCAGCAAAAAAGAAAGACATAACAAAGTCTGGTGTATGTTCCATCCAAACAACGCTACTATTTAATGGTAAAACAAAACAAACTAACTCATGAGTTACATTATTCTCATTGCGTCGAACTTCAGAAATTTCAAAAAATCGGAAACTCCTTGCTATGTTGCTAATATCTTGGAAAATGACTTCAAGAGGATCAAGATCTCTATCACCATTCCTTATAGAATTCATAACACTCATCGAATCTCCTTTCAAAATGACTTCTACTAATTCTTGCTGCCTTGCAAATTGTATTGCAATTTTCGCTGCAATAAATTCTGCTTGTTGAATATCACAACTCATAGCAATCCTCTTGGACAATGCCCCTACGAAGTACCCCCTATCATCACGTATGGCTACCCCCACTCCTAAGACATTCTGGTTTGCATATACAGTGGCATCAAAATTTACTTTGAAGGTACCAACTCTTGGAGGAAGCCACCCAACGTTGGGAATATGCTCGGCTAGAGGCTGAACTGCTGCCTCCCGAAATTGACTACAAAATTCAGCTGCCTTCATCTGCACTTCAATGGGATCTTGAATCAAATTTTCGAAGATTCTAGTATTTCTGTTTCTCCACACAAACCAACACTGAATAAGGAACAATGAAAACTCATCAGATCGAAGGGCCTGATGAGCTTCACACATCCACTGCCCAGGGTCAAAGGACATAAGTAGGCTAACTACCTTTAAAGAACTGCAGCCCCATACTGCCTTGGCCCAAGTGCAATCCCTTAACCAATGTAATAATGACTCAGCTTCGTCTTGACACACTGCACACCTCCCATTCACCTCAATTCTCTTTCTTTGAAGATTTTCACTAGTTGGTAATGCGTTAGAACAGATCCGCCAAGCAAAAATTTTAATTTTATTTGGAATTTTTTGATTCCAAATAAAATTCCAGTCCAGATTTCCAACGTTAGATGAGGGAGATGAATTTGTTGGGTCTGCCTGCAATAGCCTTTGATCCAAAATAATTTGATATGCGCTCCGAACCGAAAACCTCCCATTTGAATTATAGTGCCAGATCAGTCTATCCTCCATAGGAGATATGCTAAGTGAAATGCCTTTGATCACAAACGCCTCATGAGGCATGAAAATTTCGTCCACCAGTTGATCATTCCAACTCCGCGTTTCCTCGTTAATAAGATCCCCAACCTTAGTTGGAGTATGAAGACCCCTTCTAGGAGATACTGGCTTAAAACTTATAGGGGTGGGTATCCATCTATCCGACCATATATTAACTTTGGAACCGTCCCCTATTCGCCATCTTGAACCTGCCTCCACAACTTTCCTTGCTCCTAAAATACTTCTCCAGGTATAAGAAGGTCTATGCCCAATCTCTGCCTCCATAAAAGATGTCGAAGGGAACTACCTTGCCTTAAGCACTTGATAAATAAGTGAATTAACCGCTCTATTTATTCTCCAAGCCTATTTCGCCAACATTGCCAAATTAAAAGCCTTAAGATCTCTAAAGCCCATCCCACCCTTATCCTTTATTGTACACATCTTTCCCCAGCTAACCCAATGTATTTTCCTTTCCCCTTGCCTTTGTCCCACCAAAATCTTGCTGCTAGTGTCTCTAATTCCTCACAAAAGTTATCCGGAAATTTAAAACAACCCATAGCATATGTGGGGATGGCTTGCACTACCGACTTAATCAAGACCTCTTTCCCTGCTCTAGATAACAATTGTTCACTCCACCCTTGCAGTTTATTCCACACCCTTTCCTTTAAATTGCTAAAAACTTCTCTTTTTGATTTACCCACCACGGTAGGAAAGCCCAAGTATTTATCATGTTGATAGACCTGTTCTACCCCCAAAATATGCTGAACTTGGTTAGCCTTTGCCTCGATAGAGTTACTACTAAAAACCACTGCTGATTTTTCCAAGTTTATCTTTTGGCCAGAAGCAGCTTCATAAACACCGAGAATTGTCCTGACAGCTCCAGCTTCCTCTTGTGTTGCATTAAAGAATAAAAGGTTATCATCGGCAAACAGGAGATGTGAGATTCGTGGTCCGCCTTTACCCACCGAGATCCCTGTGATTGAGCCATGCAACTCTGCATTGCGTAGGAGTGCTGTTAAACCTTCTACACAGATCAAAAACAAATAAGGTGACAGCAGGTCTCCTTGACGAAGACCTCTTTCAGGATGGAAATAACCCATTTGATCATTGTTCAGCAGGATTGAATACGAAACAGTCGTAACACATAACATCACCAAAGTAACCCATCTATGGTCAAAACCCAATTTAATCATCATTTTTTCCAAGAACACCCATTCCACCCTATCATAAGCTTTGCTCATATCCAATTTTAGAGACGTATGACCCGTTCTACCCCAATTCTTACACTTCAGGAAATGATTAATCTCGAAGGCAATTACTACATTATCGGTAATCAACCTCCCCGGAAGAAAGGCACTTTGGGACTCAGATATAACCGAGGGAAGAATAAACTTTAGACGATTAGCTAAGACTTTTGAAATAATTTTATAAATAACGTTATACAAGCTGATTGGACGAAACTCATGCATAGACTCCGCATTTACACACTTAGGAATGAGAACAATATGGGTATAGGTGAACTTTACAGGGAATTGACCACCATTGAGAAAACTCAAGACAATTTGCGACATCCGACCAGACAATATGCCAGTATTTCTGGAAAAAAATAGGAGACATACCATCTGGACCGGGGGATTTATTAGGGAACATTTAGGATAAAGCAGTTGTTACCTCATCAATTCGAAAGGTCTGCAGCAGCCTTGAATTCATTTCTTTCGACACCTTGCGGTCCACGTTGCTTAAAACAGCCTCTAACTCTTGGGATTGTGGTCTGCTGGACGTAAACAAGTTGTTAAAATACCCGACAGCCACTTGTTCCATTTCTTCCAAATTTTCACACCAGCCCCCTTCACCATTCTTAAGCTTAACAATTGTGTTTCTTCTCCGCCGTTGGGATGCCCAAGCATGGAAAAAAGCTGTATTCTTATCCCCCTCCCTCATCCAATGGACTTTCGACCGTTGACGCCAATAAGTCTCCTCCATATCAAGTAAATTATTCAAATCCGTAGCCACAACACGAGCTTACTGCCTTGAGTTCTCTGTTATACTGCCTTCCTTTAAACATGCCAGTTTACCTTTCATGGCTTCTATCTTATTTGGAATATGACCCACGTTCACTTGTTTCCACTTAAGAAGCTCCACTCTACACTTTTGCATTTTCTTAGTGAACCCATTAACCCCTAAAAGGTGCTCACCAGAATTCCATGCCTCCTGAATAACCTCGTCACATCCCTCTCTCTTTACCCACGCCGCTTCGAAACGAAACAATCTTTTCTTTGGGCGCCACACCTGAGTCGTCAACCCCAAATTACTGTCTAAAAGAATTTTGTAGTGAACTGATTCCTTCGAGAATTTATGACAAACTCTTGAATTTGGGAATCTCGTCACCCATGCAATGTTTGCACAGATTCTATCAAGCCTCTCCACACAATGTTAGGTTCCTTCCAATTGTTGCACCAAGTAAAAGGAAAACCTTCAAATCCCAAATCTATCAGTGCACAATTGTCGAGAGCCTGCCGAAAATTTCTCATTTGCCATTCCGCCCTTCTTCCTCTCCCCTTCTTTTCGGTTTGTGAAACTATTTCATTGAAGTCCCCAACACATACCCAGGGCAAATTACTTATACTTCTCAGTTGTTGTAGCAATGCCCAAGTATCTCCACGCTTCGATAGCTCTGGTTCCCCGTAGACTCCCGTCAACCTCCATGGTCCAAGGTCCCCCCTCTCATGAACCAGCACATCAATATGACCTCGAGAGTAGCTCTGTAGCACTACACTCAACTTTTTTTGCCAAAACAACGCTAAACCCCCAGAATTTCCTTGCGACTCTACAGCCAGACCACACAATCCAAAACTCATTTTCAAAAAATCAAATTTTCTAGAATTACACTCCGTCTCCGACAAGAAGACGAAATCGGGCCGCTCTTTCTTCACGAAATCGCGCAGATCCTGAACTGTCAAAGGATGCCCTAGTCCCCGGCAGTTCCAGCTAAGGATTTTCATGGAGATTGGTGGGACTGGATCCCAGCACCCACCGTTAGCTCTTCCATATCTACCATAGTTGAATTACTTTGGTCAGGATTAACCCTAACTTTTTTCTTTACACTCCCTTCCGAAATAGAAGCCAGACCCTCTTTGCCTTCGCCAGGCTTTCGTTTGCCACTGTAATCCTCCTGAGACTTTGTGCGCTCCATAGGTATAGAACCCTTCTCCCTTCTCCCTTCTCCTCCATTTCTTCGTGACTATAGGATCCTGATTACATATGTGTCCCTCAGCTGCCTTTGTTTCCCCCAACTTAGATATGGTTCTAGGCTGGGCTAGGAATGAGATGGGGGTATCCATAAAATGTTCTAAAACCCAATGGGCCACCTCGTCACCCCCTGATCCAGACTGACTGCTCCACTCTCCCCAAACACCCCCCCACCCCCCATATCATCCACACAACTTCGGGCCTTTAATTCCTCGCCATGGATCTTTCAAGCCACTATCCACACCCCCATTGATTACTATTGTATTGCCTTCTTTCCCGGGATGCAAATTTTTGGTTTTCTTTTGCCTTCCTTCCTCATTTACCTCGGTTTCCTTTACCAAAGGATTTTGTTTGTTTATTGAGGACTCCTTTGGATCCCCAATCAATCTACTTTCCCTATTCGGCCTCCCACTAGTAACCTCTATAGTAGAAATTCCTTCCACTCCGACTATTACTCCATTCTCTCCCTCGTTACTCGCATCAATCACCGCTTTCCTTATTTTGCGAGAATCCTCCACTAATAAATTCTATTTAATTTCTTGTCATCTCATTAATAATCTAATTAAATGTTTATGTATATGGCTTTGGTCAATAGTCTTCTCCCTTTTATCACACAACTAAGCTTCTAATTTACTTCTCTCTCTCGCTCTCTCTCTCTCTCTCTCTCTCTCTCTCTATATATATATATATATATATAT